TAATGGTTCCAACCTAAACCGAAATGTTTTCAAACAATGTTATTTTTCGACATGCAGTATTATATTATTATTTTACTTATGTATAGAATACAATTTTGAATTTTTTAAATATTTGTTTGTAATAATAAATTTGTATCAACTATTTGAGTCAATTTGACTATATTAACGTTCAAGCGTTCTACACAATACATATTATTATTTACAATATTCTTGTATGGTTTATACAACCGTCCATGTCATATCCGACAGTGTAATACGTTATTTTATGATTTATTCCGCAGTAATTCGTCGCCTTTAGTACTTGATGGCTTGAATATTTCTTGAAACATATTATAATATCCGTGTAGCGTTTATACTGCAGGTCTACGGCCATTATACTCTGTATAAATCGACCAACGAGTTTTTTTATTTAAAATATATATTTTAACGTTTTTTAGTCGTTAAATCTGTAACAATTGATTATACACTCTACAAAACGAAAAAAAATGAAACAATACTTTTTTGTTCACATCAAAAATGTTTATTATATTAAAAGGGCCGCAAATAAGAAAAAAAAATCGAAATTTATATGTGTGAACAATTTAACAATTTAGAATTTTGAATAACTTAAATTTAAAAAAAAAAATACGATGGACAGGATAGACACAATAAACAAGGGGGGGAGGATGCGAGATGGCGATTGGTGCAGAAATGCAGTGTTGCTGGCCACTGGTCACCTCTGCACGTTCTCCGACCTGTCCCGCGGGTTGACGAGTGTCGCTGGCGCGTTTGCTCGGACGCTTGACGACCTTGCCCAGCCGGCGAGGCCAGACCGAGACGGCCACGGTTGCGACCACGGTTGACGGCGACGGACGGCGACTAGTGCGCGATGTCGTGCGCGTCGACGGTCGACGGCGTGACGACTCGTGACGACGGACGGCGAAGACCAAGACGTGGAGCAAGCGAAATGAGATTCTGTGCTGCGGATCCGGTGCGGACGATCGAAGCGGCCGATTTGGGATTACCGCTGGGCGAAAAGGCGAGAGCCAGCGGACCACAGCGCGATCCTTGACTTTCGGTAATTTTCGCCCTGGCGTTGTCCCTTCGGCCGCCGCTCGCCTCCAGACCCTGAAACGGTTAAGTTTCTGCGAGTCCGGCGCCGCTGACGTCCCCGTGTTCCTAGCACTCGAATCTCCGTACCACTCACTCCGTGCCGAGGTCTCTGCCGGTGCCGTCGTACCGAGTCGCCATCGCCGTCGTACCAAGTCGGTATGCAGTACCGTCTGGGCGGAATCGTTGCCCTCGCCGGTACGTCTACTAGCCGCCGTCCACCGTCGCCGTCCACCGCCGCCATCGCATCACGTGACCGTAACTGCGGTCCGGCGCTCGCCGAGCCGCCAGAGGGTCTCGCGCGTCATCGACGACCGAGCGCGCGACGCCAGCGAACCCGTCGCGCCGCGGGTGCAGGTCGGAGAACGTGCGCGGGTGACTTACCGCCGCGCACCGTCCGTGCTCTTTCCCGCATCCTCCCCTCCATTCCGTCGCCGTCATCTCCTGTCCGTCGTCTTCGCCCAGGGGGGTCTCCTCCTGTGGCTGTCTCGATTTTTTCATCCGATACATCGTCTTCTGGACACAAGACATCCTCCACTTCTGCTTCAGAAACCTTCGAATCTCCGCCTTCTCTTACTGTGTCGTCGTCGTCGTCGCCGAGCGGTGCTGTCTCTGGGATCGGACCGACTTCTGCAGCAGACGACAGCGCGTCGCCGCTCGGCACTCCGCCACGGTGCGGGGAGACGGTCTCCTCGACGTCTTCAGCCAACTCCTCTCCGTCTGCGCCTCCGAGAGTCGAGCCTTCGGGCTCCGACTCCAGGGTCTGAACGTCGCTGTAGTGGCGACCGTAACAATGGCAGACAGAAGTGGAGTGACTACAAGAACGACAACGAGATATTCATCGGTTTCATCGGCCAAAGCGAGTTCCATCTTGTTGACCAACATTTCTTCCACCATTTCCAGTAATATTATGTGTTTGCGGCTCGGTCGATGTTGTTAAAGTTTGTTGCCATAATTTATTTTTTGAAAGAAGATAATATTTGCGTTTGGATTTAATTGAGAATGAGCTAAATACAAATCGTTCAACACATAGACCGATCTCCGAGAAAATTTCCCAGACGACGGCGTGTGTTACTAGCCAGCTAGTATTTTTATCGTTCTCGTCGGCCCGCAGCATTAGAATTTCAAGCGCGTTAATAATAACAATTTTATTTTATTTGCAAACAATTCCCAACATTATTGTAAATTATAAATACAGTAGTAAGTCTGCTCACCTCCTATAAGCAAAAGCTTGGGTGAGAGGCTCTTAAATTAGACATTCAATTTAAATACAAATAATAACAATAAAGTACAATTAAGTACAATATATAAGATTTACTTAATACAAAATAGAGCGTTAATTTTTCTAAAGACTATTATTATTTATATCCACCGACACGGTCGTGGCGCGAGCTAAGTAAAACAAATAATAATAACTGCAAGAAGGTGTGTGTCTATCGAAGCAGGAGTTGCCTATTTAAACTGTGTAAAATACAGGTAAATTTGTTATACGACATAACTATTTTCTTATCCATCAATTAACTCCTAGTAAACTCCAAAACATCAGAAATATTGTGTATAACGTGCTTTTGTAAAAATCATCAAAATCTTAAATAGTACTTTTAGAAATGAAGTTATAAATGAAAAAGTGCGAACTTTTTAATGGAAATTTATATTAAATTCAGAATCACGGTAGCCGTCGTCGTCGTCGTCGTCGCATCAGCGTTGCCATTTTTACCAACAAATAACAATATTACCGTTCTTATATAGATTATTGTGTAAATACCACGGACTAAGATATATATATCTTAGTCCGTGGTAAATACTCAATATTTAATAATGATAAATATTAGTGATATCACAACAAAAACCCTTCTCTTCTTAAGAGGACGTGTCATCCAAAAAAATCACTCGAAAAATTCATTTAAAAACATGTTTGCGCGTTCCAATAATATGGGTTACTGAGTGGTTTTATCATAAAAACACCTATGAACAAAATTGTAGAGGAGAATTTTATCTGGTTCCGTAAGAAGCCCGATTTTTGAAATTTTCATTTCTAAGTCCTAAAATTAACTTCCGGAAAATGAAAAAAAAGTGTATTATTAACCATGATATATTTCATGATGTTTTAAAGATATCAAAAATCGGGCTTCTTACGGAACCAGATAAAATTCTCCTCTACAATTTTGTTCATAGGTGTTTTTACGATTAAACCACTCAGTAACCCATATTATTGGAACGCGCAAAGTATGTTTTATAAGAAAACTGCAGAAAATTACGCTCGGCAAGTGCTGCGCCCGTAGTCAGTGGCAGCGTTCGATACTAGCTGTGCATACCACCACCCCGCGCGCATTAACGGCGGTACCGCACCGTGGTCAAAACAGGTTCTCTATCGCAGCCGACCGCCCGTGCATAGTTTATAAATAACCAGATAAGAAAATGATTATTATATTTGTGACAAATAATATTTAATTTGGTTCTATTTTATATTTTGTATTCGTATCCGAATTTTATACAAATAAAAACTATACTTTTGTTCTTCAAGTAGGTAATAGTGTAATACGGCTTATTGAAGCGGTTTGCAATAAAAATACCTATTATAAAAATTGTAGAGGAGAATTTTTTTAACAATCGTAAGGAATCCGATTTTTGATATCGTATTCCAATCGTCCAATATCGCATGATAAATTAACAATTTTTTTTTTTACTTTTTATCGATTAATTATTTAACTCATTAATAAAAATATAAAAAATCGGGCTTATTTCGATTATTAAAAAAATTCTTCTCTCCAACTTTTATAATAGGTATTTTTACTGTAAACTGCTTCAATAAGCCGTATACTTGAATTACGAAACCATATTTTGTTCACTAGGCCAAACTCTTCTTATCCGAATTTTATACAAATAAAAACTACTTTTGTTCTTCAATTAATACGGCTTATTGAAGAGGTTTACAGTAAAAATACCTATTATAAAAGTGGTAGAGGAGAATTTTTTTAACAATCGTAATAAATCCGATTTTTGATATCGTTTTCCAATCGTCCAATATCGCATGGTAAATTAACATTTTTTTTTTTTTTACTTTTTATCGATTAATTATTTAACTTATTAAGAGGACGTAGTACCGGCGTTTTCAATACCAAAAACATGCTCGCTTAGATTCCAAATTTTGCACTCCAGAGTGGTTTTAGGACATAAACACCTATTAACAAAATTAAAGATAATAATATTTTCGAGGGCCCCACGTAGCCTTTTTTCAAAAAATTAATTTTTTGAAAAGTTACTGTCATTTTAACATGTTGAAAAAATCATTATTTTTAAACGATGTACTGAGCTTAATATTTGGAACAAAGAAAAAAACCTACGTGGGGCCCTCGAAAATATTATTATCTTTAATTTTGTTCATAGGTGTTTTTACGATTAAGCCACTCAGTAACCCATATTATTGGAACGCGCAAAGTATGTTTTATAAGAAAACTGCAGAAAATTACGCTCGGCAAGTGCTGCGCCCGTAGTCAGTGGCAGCGTTCGATACTAGCTGTGCTACCACCACCCCGCGCGCATTAACGGCGGTACCGCACCATGGTCAAAACAGGTTCTCTATCGCAGCCGACCGCCTGTGCATAGTTTATAAATAACCAGATAAGAAAATGATTATTATATTTGTGACAAATAATATTTAATTTGGTTCGATTTTATATTTTGTATTCGTATCCGAATTTTATACAAATAAAAACTATACTTTTGTTCTTCAAGTAGGTAATAGTGTAATACGGCTTATTGAAGCGGTTTGCAATAAAAATACCTATTATAAAAATTGTAGAGGAGAATTTTTTTAACAATCGTAAGGAATCCGATTTTTGATATCGTATTCCAATCGTCCAATATCGCATGATAAATTAACAATTTTTTTTTTTTACTTTTTATCGGTATTAGTCATTTTTTTTATCCAGTAACGAGGAGATTACTTTAGTAAGTAGTGCTATAAGTGGATTTATCAAAGATTTAAATTCCTCTAGAAAAAGAGTCATTGCATTATTAATGTTAGATTCAGAGGAAGGAGAAGGATGTGCAGTGCGTTGGCCAGAGGTAGCCTGCGCATATGTCCGAGCATTATTTGAGGGAGTGTCATTTTCAGGGTGGCTAGTTTGTACATTGTATTTCTTAAATCTAGGATTATCAGAGAGAAAAGCATTGTTTGGTGAAGGTTTCTTGCGCCGTTGAATTTCTTTATAAACAGAGCATCCTCTATAGCTGGCTGGATGGTTGCCTAGGCAGAGCGCACATTTAGGTGGGGTGTCCCGAGAAATGGTGCAGTCGGATGACTGGTGATGGCCGCCGCATCGTACGCAGCGTGATAAGTAGTTACAGTAGGATTTCGTGTGCCCGTATTCTTGACAATTTAAGCACTGGCTAATTATCTTAGGTTTATATGGCTCCTCTACTTTAATTTTAGTGTGGAGCATGGAGGTCAGTTTATAAATGTCATTTGATTGAGAGGAAGGTTCGAGGTCAACGAAAAAGAGTGGTAATGGATGTTTGTGCACCTTATGAAGAACATTTGTAACTGTACGTACCTCAAATTCACGGAGTTCCAATTCAGATTTGATTAGGCTGGTATCAGTTGATGGGTGCAGATTTCTGATCACTACACGTGTGGGTTTGTCTTGTTGCAGTTGGTATGTATGATATTCGGCATTTCGATCCTTAAGAAAGTGTATAAGCGCTCTGTATGCTTCCGGAGTGCTAGTTTGAATTTTTAAACGATCCGTAGAGGATTTACAAATAAAGTTTTCAACGCCAAGAATCTCAATAAGACTTGTGCAAAGTCCTGGAAAATCATCAACACCTTTTACAAAAATAGGTGGAGGGGATTTGATGTGCGATTCTGCGTTAGTATGATCTAAATTATTAGCGGTATTGGTAGTGTGTTGAGTGTCATCATTATTGTCTTGTTGGGTGAAAACTTCGAATCTATTTCTAGACGCGAATAATTTTTTTTTAGTTGGTAGAGTAGGTGATTTAGGTGAGTTTTGAGGATCTGAAGACGAGGAGGTAGAGTGATTTCTTTTATTAGTAGACTTGACGATCCACTCACCATTTGATGAGGTGACTGAGCCATTCGATTGAGATGGTGAGATGTGAGTAGTTTTGTTTATGATTGTAATTGGTGGCACTGTTTTCTTCGGATTATTGTTTTGATTTTTGTTGTTACTCATTATAACGTGAGTATATAGACATGCGTGTGTGAATTATAAATATATATATATATATATTAATTAGCTTGTTGCGGATTGCGATAGCGAGAATGAGAGTCGCGATAACAAATAAATCTCTACTTGTTTTATTATTCAATGCTAATGGACTAAAAAATCATATATCGGAACTTCAATCAGTACTAAATAATAGACGCATCGATATTGCTTTAATTACAGAAACGCACTTTACCTCATACTCACACGTACATATACCCGGTTACAGGCTCCATAAAGCCAATCATCCCGACAATACAGCTCATGGTGGTGTCGCGATTTTTGTTAAATATTCAATCCTATATCAATCTCTTCCAAGCGTCTGCGAAGATATTTTCCAATCTTGTGCTATTCAAATTTATGTTAATAGTGTTCCAATCACAGTTGCAGCAATTTATTCACCTCCAAAGCATAATGTTTCCTACGAGAACTTTTCAAATTACTTCAACACAATAAACAATAACTTCATCATAGGTGGGGATTATAACGCGAAGCATCAGAGTTGGGGCTGTCGAGTGAACAACCCACGAGGAAATGTTCTCTCAAATTTTGTAAATACAAGAAAATTCAAGGTGCTTGCGCCTCCAGGACCCACCTATTGGCCTTCGTCCCGACACAAAAATCCAGACATATTAGATATTTTTATAACAAAAACCCCTTCAAATGTGCACTATGTCATCGACAATATTCTAGACTTAAATTCTGATCACTCGTCGGTTATTCTCACACTTAACGACTATCCTGCAATTAATACTGAACCATTAAAATTATTTCACACCACTACTGATCGTTACAAATTCCATGACCTGGTAAACCAGAATCTTCAACTAAATGTCAGATTGAAATCCAATGACGACATAGACGCAGCTGTAAATAACCTAACGAATGTTATTCAATCAGCAGCCTGGGCGGCCAACACAGCTAAAAATGTACATAAAACCAACTCTAATTCGCTGCCGATTAATATCCGTATCCTAATATCAGAAAAGAGAAGAGCTAGAGCCCTCTATCAACGTACTCGCTTACCCTCCCACAAACAAACATACAATAACTTAGGCAATCATCTTAAAAAAGTCCTAGCAAAAATCAAAAATATTAACTACGAAAATTTCCTGAGAAAATTATCTACAAATAACGGTAGCCTTTGGAAAGCGTCCAAACAAGCTTTACATTTGAAAATACCCACTCCACCTATTAAAAAATCTGATGGGAGTTTCACTGTGTCGGACACAGAGAAAGCAGAACTTTTCAAAAATCACCTCTTTAATGTTTTTCAACCTCACCAAGATATTTTACCTGTCAACTCTGACACAATTCTCAGTGGTCTTGATATGCCTTTACCTCTATCTTCCCAAATTAAACATTTTTCACCGAGCGATATTAAATTTGCAATCCAAAAGCACACTCTTAGGAAGTCTCCGGGTTTTGACCTAATAACGGCTGAAGTAGCCAGATGCCTTCCTAAACGCGCAATCGTATTTCTAACTCATATATTTAATGCCGTACTCAGATTGTCTTACTTCCCACTTTTATGGAAGTTCTCCAAAATCATACTTTTCCCAAAACCAAACAAGCCCCCTGACCTGGTAACGTCATATAGACCAATTAGTCTATTACCTTTTTTCGGAAAAGTGCTAGAAAGACTAATACTGAATCGCATACTTCCCATAATTAGTGAAAAAAATTTATTACCTAACTATCAATTCGGTTTTCGCGCACATCATTCTACAATCCATCAAGTACACAGGCTAGTTGATTCGATTTCTTTCGCACATGAAAAAAAAATGTATTGTTCTTGTGTATTTCTTGACATTCAACAGGCCTTTGACCGTGTATGGCATGAAGGGCTGCTGTACAAGGTAAAGTCCTTTTTGCCCCCAACATACTACATGCTACTTAAATCTTATTTAACTGATCGTTATTTTCAAGTTCATTTTAAATCTGCATACTCAAACATTGCTAACATCAGAGCTGGTGTGCCTCAAGGGGGTATCCTTTCTCCATTACTATATAACTTATATGCTTCTGATCAACCAACATCCGTCAACACCATTGTGGCAGACTATGCAGATGACAAACTCATCATATCTACAAGTGAAAACCCCTTTGTAGCGTCGCTTAATCTACAGAATCATCTTTCTCTTATGGAAACCTGGTACAAGAATTGGAGGATTAAGATTAATCAAACCAAATCTAATCACACTACTTTTACCCTTAAGCTAGGACACTGCCCGCCAGTCACTCTCTTTGGTACGCAAATTCCGTCCACTCCGACAGTCAAGTATCTTGGCTTAACCCTTGACCGTAGACTAACATGGGCACAACATACACGTGTTAAAAGACTCCAACTAAATCTCCGACTTCGTATGCTTAAATCTCTACTAGTCAATAACAAACACACCAACCTTAATATAAAACTACTAATGTACAAATCCCTTATTAAACCCATTTGGACCTACGGTATCCAACTGTGGGGAAACGCAAAAAAATCAAATACAAATCGCATTCAGACTTTTCAAAACATAACATTAAGAAAATTAACAAACTCCCCCCCATATGTTTCCAATCATACTCTCCACACAGACCTAAAAATTAAAACTATTAAAGAAGTAGCTGCTATTTATTATAAAAGATTTCATAAAAGGCTTGCAACTCACTCAAATCCTTTAGTCAAAACACTCTCATCAAATGTTATTCCGGGAAATCCTCCTAGGCGACTAAAACGCAACTGGTGCAGAGATATGCTGACTTAATATCATAATTTTAAATTTAAAAAAAAAAAAAAAAAAAAAAAAAAATTAATCAATAAACATAGTGTGTGTCTATGAGAAAACCTAATTATAACCTCAATTTTTAAGTGTCATCACTGGGTGGCTGCTTTTATCAAGCTTTTCATGTTATTTTGTTTGTTTATATTTTAGCTAATACTCTTGTTGTACCCTTGAGGTACAGATTGTGTATTTAATATTAATAAAGAAAAAAAAAAAAAAAAAAAAAAAAAAAAAAAAAAAAAAAAAAACTTTTTATCGATTAATTATTTAACTCATTAATAAAAATATAAAAAATCGGGCTTATTTCGATTATTAAAAAAATTCTTCTCTCCAACTTTTATAATAGGTATTTTTACTGTTAACTGCTTCAATAAGCCGTATTACTTGAATTACGAAACCATATTTTGTTCACTAGGCCAAACTCTTCTTATCCGAATTTTATACAAATAAAAACTACTTTTGTTCTTCAATTAATACGGCTTATTGAAGAGGTTTACAGTAAAAATACCTATTATAAAAGTGGTAGAGGAGAATTTTTTTAACAATCGTAATAAATCTGATTTTTGATATCGTATTCCAATCGTCCAATATCGCATGGTAAATTAACATTTTTTTTTTTTACTTTTTATCGATTAATTATTTAACTTATTAATAAAAATATAAAAAATCGAGCTTATTTCAATTGTTGAAAAAATTCTTCTCTAAAACTTTTATAATAGGTAGTTTTGCTGTAAACTATTTAAATAGGCCGTATTACTTGAATTATCGAACAATTTGGGTATGATAAAAAAAAGAAATAGGTAGGTACTCAAAAAACCATTTATAACAATTAACAGAAATTAATTAAAATTAAAATTAAATAAATACTACCAAAACTTATATTTCACATTTCACATTTTTATATTTTGGTATATCGTATTAGCTATGAGTAAATTAAAAATTGAAATAATTTGTATATTAAAGGTGTATAGGCACAATAATAAAATAAATAAAATATTTCATTATGAATTATTTTTCAGTATTTATAATGTATGAATAGTATTAATTTATTATTATTATTATGTGGGTAATTGTTTTAATATTATTATATGTGTATAGGAATCATAGCCAAAAATTGTTTGAAGCATACGCAGGGCCGGTTTTAAGGGGCGGCAAAATTATCTCAGATAAAATAAACAAAAAATTAATTTTTTATGTAAAGAGAAAGATTTCTAAAAAATGATACATTTTATTACTATTTATTTTTTAAATTCACATATGCATACGTTTTTTTTTACCTATATTTTATCATTTTAAATAAAGAAAAATAAACGTTATTAACTAAGTAGGTAGGTACCTACTAGGTATCATGGAAGATTCTAGGTAGATAGTACCTAAGACCTAAGTTATAAATTAGTTACTTATGTTTTTTTGTATAGTTTACCTACTATTAAAAATCTAATATTGGAATGCATAGGTACCTATAGTTAAAATTGCTAAAAATTAACTGCAAATTAAATTTCAATGAGAAAGGGAAACATAAAAAAGGTGGGCAAGTGGCCAGTGGGTGTCGCTCTGCTGTACAGTAGGTTACAAGTCTGTCACTGTATAATGGATAGTATTAAATTTGAATTCAATGATATAATATCATTGTATAAGAAAAACGATTCTGAGCGGAGATGGTATGTCAGTCTAGGTATAAGACATAATATTGTATACATATCTATGGTATTAGAAAAAAAATTGACCTATAATAGGTAGTAGGTACCTATAATAAATTCCAAATTAATCATATCACAATATCCATTAGGTGCTGATAACGCGTTATACATCAACAACATACCGTGATACTATCATAGATATATAATAGCACACTTTAGAAGTTTCAAGTACTCACGAATAACATTATTCAATCACAACAAAATAACTAAAATAGTTATTCTAGGTTTTTTAATATGTAATTTCGTCCAAATTTGAATTTAAAATTTCTGTAAAAAATAACTGTGTTCATATATTTTTTAGATTTTTTGGTTACAGTATGAACTATTTATGAGAACCTTTGTTTTAAATTTGCAATCCTTAGCTATAAAAACTGAACATTTTATAATTTATTAATTTCAATGATTTATAATTTTCGAGATTTTGATACATTTTGTCAAAATTCGATCTTTAAATGCTTATAAAAAAAAACTGTGCCTATGTTTTTTTAATATTTTT